TGGAGAGTAATTGTTGGCCTAATTGTTGTATGTCACACGCAAGAACCTCCCCTCCCTTTTTCCTCCCGCTTCATTTTAATTTCAGTCTTATATCAGTTTAGCCGTTCTACACAGCTGACGAAGTACGCTGTGCTCCACAAAAATATAAAATGCGCTACTGTGAAGAGACCAAATTTTAGAAGTGCTTTCTAATTCCACACGTAGCTTTTATAAAGGGAACTGCAGAATCCAAAGACAGCGCTGGATGGTGTCTCGAGGAGACCAATTTCCTCCCACCCTGCTGTTTCCTTCGACTCTCGAAATCTGCTCCGTGGGGTAGGAGATGATCCAAAGCAAATTTGGGCAGGAAACAGGATGCATGAGCAAAAAAAAAAACTATTTCTTTAATTTCATTCTTTCTCTTCGGCAGCCAAGAGAATCTATATACTTCTTGGCCTCCATCCAATCTTGTGATTTCTGATTATGCTATGCTAGTTTTCTCTCCCACTTACTCTCTTCTGCAAATCCCTGCATAGCCAGGGTACGTTTCTGAAGTCAATAATTTGGGGCACTGCAAATAGGAGCGGGAATCTGATTTGCCAATGGCGTTCAGTTTACTGATAGAGACACTATTGTATATAGTCTAATGCAGTGTTTCTCAACCTTGGCGACTTTAAGTCCTGTGGACTTCAACTCCCAGAACCCCCCAGCCAGCTCCCCCCCAGAGCTGGCTGGGGGGTTCTGGGAGTTGAAGTCCACAGGACTTAAAGTCGCCAAGGTTGAGAAACACTGGTCTAATGCACTGTAACAATTTTGTTAAGAACACATAATAATCCTTGATAAATTATATTTTGTTTGAGAGCTGATAAAAATGTTGGGCTCCTAATTAGCTTAGGTCACCGAAAGTGACACCGCTTATCCAGTTTTGGTTGATCTTTAAAAAGCTAAGCGGAATTAAACTTGTTTAATTCTTAGATAGGAATCCATCAGGAACTTTTATGGCTATTGAGCAGACAGGGAAGAGGGAAAAACAACATACAAGACACCCATAGTAAACTGCTTATTTTCTGTTGTCATGAAAACAACGTGAATCTAGTCACCAAAAACTGAGCTTGATTAAACAACTTGGTAAGAATTAATTAAGAACAAGTTAGGATTAGATTCCAAATTGGGCAGGAATAAGCCTGAGCCGCTTTTTATATTTATTTATTTATATATTTGTATTAATATTACAAACATTAATACAAATATATAAATAAATTATCAAATATATTAATATTACATTAATATGTTTATATTTATATTTATTTACACACACACACACACACACACACACACACGTTAGATCTATAACTTCATTTTTGTTTCAACCACTAATCATTTATGTGGTTCTAATATTATTACGGTTTGAATGCGTAGCCCTCTGACAGTAACTATGCAACTTAACTAAAACGCTGTCTCTTTTAACGCACAAGTGAGAACGTAACATTTCATGTTTCTACTGGGGAAAAAATGTTTTTTTAGCCATGGATATAGACAAGTGTTTTATTACAATGCAATGCTTCTCATTAATTCAATATTTGGCTACCACATTTCACTTCTGACATTTACTACTATAAATACTGTACATCGTCTTTTGTTCTTATTCACTGTTCACGGTGAGGATATCAAAGAGAGAAAATGGAAAATTACAACACTGCTAAAGAATTGGGAAAGCTCAGAACAAAGCAAATATTAAATCAGGATCAGTTTCTGCCACTTCCTATATTATGACAATGCAGCTTAGTTGTCTGAACAGATCTTCAGAGTATGGCCGCTATTTCTTCCTCTATTTCTTCTATCATATTGATAAACATAATGAAATGCTAAATGCTAGCCATTTGCTACATTTCTTTAAATAATTGTATCCCTTCGTTTCTTAAATTTAATTTTTGCTTTGCTAAGGTGATATGTACTATTGATGATATTCAAAGTCCCAAATAAGCTTATTTTTATTCACTCCCTTAACATTAATCAAGTTTTATTAATTCTATATTGGAAGCATTCGATCAGAAATCCATACTAACCATAATTTGCTTTAATAAACACAAGAGGATTAAAACTGATCTTTTTTAAAAATATAGCTAAGTCTCACAGTGGAAAAATAATTGCTACTCTATATAAAGAATTGTAAAAACAAATGTAATTTTATTAGGAGTTTCAAGCAGCTCAAGTTTCATTATGACTAATCTATTTTGAATAGTGTATTAAATATGCAATAAGGTATATGAATATAATTATATATTCACATAACTGTAATATACTACAACCTTTGCTAAGTAATGGCCAATGATATAGTTTGGCAGTATGAGAATACTACTCAATTAATAAATACAGGAGTAAATTAATAACTTTCATTTAATCTGACCCAAGTAAATAATGTAAAAATATTCCTATTTATGCCTTGATGAACTGGCAGGAATATATATTCATATTCTAAATATAAATGTAGCATAAATGTACAGAAACTGTTAATTATTGTCTAAATTATTGATAAGATACAGCAAAAGTAAAACGCATTTGTATAAAATCTAATTTTAGAAATCAACATGAACATAGCTTGCCTAATTCTAATCTGTATACTTTTAATGTTTTTATTTGGTGAACATTATTTTAGGATATTTGTTCAAGTTTCAAAAGCTTAAAAGGAATCTTGGTAACAACTTTCCTGGCTAACCACTTTTATTAAAAGGCGCAAGCTTTCAAGAGCTGCAGCAAAATATATTGCAAAACGGCTTCCACATTATGTGTGAGAAATACTTCCTTAAAATAATATCGTATTCTTATTCTTGAGCCTCACTCTTAAATAATGCCAGTCAAATCTGAGTACTGACATTTCCTTTCTCTTGGTAGCTTATCTTTAAAGTGATATGCAAGCTTAGTCCCGTAGTAGCTCAAGGCAGTAGTCAATTCACTTAAAACTTGTGAACGCTTTCTATTTTTCCCCCTCTTGTCTATTTATTTTGATGTGTATATTATTCTTAGCTAACTTCCATCACATTTCATGAGTTGATCTCATACCTTAAAAGATTAGGCATTCCCACCTGGAACTATTCACAATGTATAGCATTGCATAACCTTCTCCGTTCTTCTAGTCTTGTATTCTTATGCATTATTAATAGTAGCATTCTTTCTTATTTAATGTATAACTACAACTTCTACAGGGCTATGCTTGATGGAAGCCTCCTGTCTGTCATGCTTCTTTCATTACAGTCAAAGGAACTGAATGGTTCTTTATTTAACACTCTGCTGCCATCTATTTGACAAAAAGAAAACATGTCTGTCAATGCCCTGTTTTGAAAAATACAACCTTCAACCTTGACTTTTCCTGGATCAAATGAAAACAAAGAATATAAAGATTTCTACTGGCATTCTGGGTTTAAATATGCCCTCCAGTATGAGTAAGGCAAAGAAGAAATGTTCTTGTGACAGCATTTACATATTCTTGTCATATTTACTGGCATATTGCATCCTTAAAGGTGAATGTTACCCTCACATGAGCGGTGCTCATCTCCGTTTCTAAGCCGAAGAGCCAGCGCTGTCCGAAGATGTCTCCATGGTCATGTGGCCGGCATGACTAAATGCTGAAGGCGCATAGAACACTGTTCCCTTCCCACCAAAGGTGGTTCCTATTTTTCTACTTGCATTTTACATGCTTTCGAACGGCTAGGTTGGCAGAAGCTGGGAAAAGTAACGGGAGCTCACTCTGTTACGCGGCACTAGGGATTTGAACATCCAACTTCNATACTTATTATTATACGTTGTTGTTTCTCCTTTTTCCTGGAACAAATTCTCTCTGCTCTATCACTTCCAACCACAAGGCAGATGAGTATTTGTTTAATCAACTTGTGATATTGTAGACCAGGGGTCCCCAAACCTTGCAACTTTAAGACTTGTGGACTTCAACGTCCAGAATTTTCCAGCTAGCTGGCTGGAGAATTCTGGGAGTTGAAGTCCACAAGTCTTAAAGTTGCCAAGTTTGAAGACCTCTGTTGTAGACTGAAGAGACTTCAATTCTTTTGTTTCTTTTTATATCTTCTATCCCATTTCATTTTCACACCTAAAATCTAGAACATCACCTGTTTTCCATATTTCCTCTTTCTACCTTGGGTTAAGGGTAACTGCAATTAGTTACTTACTTATGGTACCATGTACAATACTAACAAATTTATTATTATATGTGTTCATAGATCAGAGTCCACCATCAAATGTATGTAATAAGTCCTGACAAACACATTGTCATTTAATCATCAAATATTGATTTGGATTTCTCTTCTGTTCATTTACTTTCCATTTTGTTAATAGATCAAAATCACCTATAAACACTTCTATTTCTGAAAATATTCTTAATTTACATCATTTCTACATAACTGCCTAACACATTTGCACAGTATTGCATGTTAAATAGAGTTAATGTATATTTTGTAATCAGAAGATGTTATCCTTGTTTAATCAGTGAGAAATGGTGTTCCTTCTATTTAATCGTTAAAGGTATTTAAGAAAGATTTTATACAATATGGCTTCTCAAACCTCAGAATATTTTACAAGCCACATAGCAACTTCCTAGAATATAAAATTAGTTTGCATTTTCTTATTTGCTGAGATGGATCTCAGTAATACATACCATGCTGCTCCACTCATCCAGGATCACATCCCAGATGAGTTTTATTAGAGGCCAACCTAATATTATGCACGTCCAGGATTGTATAAGTTTTGATAACCAGTAAGTGGCAATGTAGGAAGTGCTGGAGTGCAGAATAGATGCAACACCTCATTCCTATACTTTACTATTACTATTTAGAGCTAACCAAGATTTATGACTTCATGCACACATCACTCTATGCTAAATCTAAACAATATGCATTAGAATTTAGGTTGAGATATATACAGAAATCAATTGCATTAAAGCTTAGTTTATTATTAACAAAGTAAACAAAATAAATGAACTCAGTCATAAAAATTACATACTTACAGGTCCCATAATAGTCGCTTGCCAATGAAACACTGAAAAACACAAAATATTATTTCTTATTAGGTATTTAACGATACTATATATTATAAATATATAAACTATTTTGCCATCAACTATAAAGATCTTACAGTCATCTCCAACAGGTCCAGCTGAACAATGTGCAGGTGGATCACGCTGCAGATCACTTAGCTCCTGTAAGAAACATAAAAAAGAAAAACATTTGGAAGGTTATAAGCAAACTCAAGATTAATTATCCAAATTTGGATCCAATTTATTGATTTGATTAAGCATGTTCAAAATTTACAACTAAAAAATCAAAATAAATTTTAGTCAAAATAAAATTCAATGAATGCACAGTGGAATTAAAATAATTAGTATTGAGCACTACTGTGAGATGCGTGATCTCCACATATTTAATGAACGTTATACATTTATCATTAATACAATCAATGACTCCCATATTATTTCAATTTTAAAGTTGTTAGCCTGTGTGGAAAGACATAAATGCAGGCTTCTAAACCCCCTGATTAAATAGAATTATGACAAAAGTTGAGCCTTATTTATCTGAGTAGAATTCTGCAATGAATTAAGTCAAAACCCTCAAAGAAAGAGCCAGTGATAAATCATATTACCATGTTCTGAAGTTATTGCTTTATTGATTATTGCACAATTTCATTAACAACAAGTTTCAAGGAGGTAAAGATAAGATTTTCAGACATACAAAATGTATAGAAAGATTCAGTAAGTCTAAAAACTTTAATTCTAACTGAGCATACAAATATTAATGTATGTTGTACTTCATTTATTTTTTAAAAAAATTATATTGCAACAGAAAGGAACTTCCATATACTATACTAATAAAGTATATTAAAAATATTAACATAATAAATACCTAACATAATAAAGTCATAAATGCATCCAGGCTTCCAGAGGTGCTAATGATTGGGCCAAGGGGGTTTGTGAAAGAATTTTGAAAGGAATTTACTATGACTAAAAAGATTCAATTTTTCATGCTCATCTTCTTCATTTCTGAAAGCAAAGGAGCTCAATTTATATGGAGGCTACAGATATGGTTTGCATATGTTTTAAATAAACACAATTTATTCAGCCCTAGAATTACAGAGATGTTGTCAGAAAAACTACAGCTCCAAATGAGCTGATGTAGGTGAAGGATGCAAAATTCAATGGATTAATAACAAGAGCTTCCCAAGTTACATTCATAACAAAAGGTAAAGAAATGCCTGCTGAATGAAAAGGGCAAAATGTTAGCAGGTTAACACAGGAAAAACAGAACCTATGCTTGTAAGATGTTCCATTTGGCAAGTGTAAAGAGCAGGACGAAGGGGCAGGATGAAATGTAGTCATGGAATACCTGCTCAGTTGCAGTGAGATGAAATCTCCAGAATCAGATAAACTAGATTTTACAGTATGAAGGAATATGCTGATTATCAGGTGTGACATAATTGTCTTTGACAATTCTTGGAGAAACGATGAAATTCCAGAAAACTGGAGAACAAATATTGTCTTTATCTTCAAGAAGAGAGAAAAAAGGTATTTGGGAAGATTCCAGACCATATTGTAAAAAGGATGATCTAAATAACCTTAAAAATAAAACTGTGATTACCAGTAGTTATCATGGATTGAGTAGAATTAGGGAATAGACCTTAAATTAACTGACGTATTTGACAAAGAACCCAAACTATCCTGTTTAGCAAGGTTACCAGTTAAAGTAAGACAATGAATACTGCACATAGCTGGTCCAAGAAATGTATCTGAAGCCTGCTTAATAATTCTTCTACCTGAGAGTGATATCAAGTGGAGTGATGAAATGAAATCAGTCCTGAATCTGGTACTCTTCAGTATTTTTTTTTTCATGACTTTGATGTGAAGGAAATGCTTCTCAAATTTTCAGGCATAAAATTGGGTAGATTAATACTGTAGAAAACAGAAATAAAATTCAATATTATCTTGGTAAGTAAGAAAAATAGATTTCTCTAAGTAATCTACCAACTCTCAAGTATTATGTGCAATTCTCAGCATTAAGTAGCAATAATGTTTTAGAGAAATTGGAACAGGTGGTAGGGGAGGACACAGGGTGATCTAGAAAGTATGTCCCGTGACTAAATCTCTGGGAATATTTAGCCAGAAAAGAGAAACTTGAGAGAATATATGATTAAACTCTACATAAATATCTAAAATACCTACAAAGATGACACAGAAGATGGCTGGGACTTGATCTGATCTCAGGGAGCTCTAAGATAACAGGAATCAAAATTAATAGATTTAAATTACATAAAGGCAGACTTGAACTGAATCTTAGAAAACAAATTTCTATCAGTAACGATAGCTTGACTGTGAATCCAGTTACTGAGGGAAGGCAATTTATTAGATGTGTTCAATTAGGAGATAGACAACTATCTGTCAAAGATGTTTTAATCTGGATACCTGCATGAAACATGGGGTTAGATTTGATGGCCCAAATAGTTGGAATATGTGTTGAAATGTATATAGTGCCACAGAAGCAATTTCCTTGAACAGGGAATTAATACCTAGCAAAACATATATTATTAAATACAGCTCAAGGACAATCATAAGTTTGATCTATATATTTCAGTTCTGGCGCTCAATTCCAAATATAGTATACAGTATGCATAATGTATCTCTTTTAATAAAACAAAATTTAAATCCAATATAAAACAAAAGCAATGTCTTGGGTGATATACTGTAATACAAACTAATTCCCTCAATATAGTATATCAGTTCAGTAGGTTAATTTTTTTTAATTCATTACACAAACTAATAAAGGAGAATATTTTTGTTTCAGGATTCACATGAGGGGTCCTTGGTGCTCTCTGAGCTTGCTGTTTTCTTGCAGACATTTCATTACCCAAACTAGGTAACATCATCAGTGCTAGTAAGGAGTGGGGTTCACTGTCAGTTACACAAATTGTTAAGAACTGTATTTTTAGCAGTTAATTAATTCTTGCCTAAAGGCAAGACTAACTTAGAAAAATATTAATAGTATAGTAAAGTTTAGAGTTTATTGTACTGGTACAAATAGAAACTTGGTAAGAACCATTCTAACCACCAGAATTAGCGAAGATTCTTTAAAACTGGAATATTAAAAAATACATGCCCTTAAGAATAAACCTGTGTGAAGCAAAAAGGCAGAGAAGTAAAATGTTAAAATTATACTCAGAACAGTAATACATTAAAGCCAAATGCTAATGTTTGAATGCTGAATGTTTATTTCATTTGTATGCCGCCCTTTTTCCCCGGAGGGGGACTCAGGGCGGCTCACAACTCAAACCAGGGAAGGGGGATACAGACAAATTAACAACAACACAAAACAATACATAATTTAAAACACGCAACAATCATACCATTCGAGATAGGGGCAACAGTTCTTTAGCCCCAGGCCTGTCGGAACAGCCAGGTTTTAAGGGCTTTGCGGAAGGCCTGGAGGGTGGTGAGGGTGCGAATCTCCACGGGGAGTTCGTTCCAGAGGGTCGGAGCAGCCACAGAGAAGGCTCTCCTCCGGGTAGTCGCCAGTCGACACTGGCCGGTGGATGGAATTCAGAGGAGGCCTAATCTGTGGGATCTAATCGGTCTGGTGGAGGTAATTGGCAGCAGGCGGTCTCTCAAGTACCCAGGTCCAATACCATGAAGGGCTTTATAAGTGACGACTAGCGCCTTGAAGCGTATCCGGAGACCAATAGGCAGCCAGTGCAGCTCGCGGAGGATAGGTGTTACGTGGGTTAACACTTTCAAATGCTATTTACACTGGAGAATCTCACTGGAACTGATGGATTTCATATCTTCATCACACCCATCTGTTCCTGGAAGCTCACCCAAGTTGGGTGGGTGGGAGTAGCGTTGCATTGGGAAACGTGATTGATGTTATTAAGCTAACTGAATTCCATAGTCAGAATAGTATTAATTTTTGACTAGATCATAAATAGTTTGCTAAATTCCTGGCTTCATTATCAAGAGGCTATTCATACTTATTTTCAAAGTATTTTCATAATGGCTTACATTATATCATACCATACGCATAGTTATCCATGAATCCATTTTGTGAAATGAAATCACCTTGAGTTAAAGATGACTATAATTACAATTTTAGAAGTTTAAATATCTTTATTTAAAATAAATGCCTAAAATACTCAAGTATAAGAATACTATAAATCATTTTGAAGTAAACTAATTTAATTATCTATACAGATGTAAAAAAACAGCTGAAATTAATTAATATGCAAAAAATATTGAGGCAAAACTAGTATTATAATCATGATATTAAGGACTAATAGCAGTTCTTAAACACAGTAAGAACTAAATACAATATAGTCATGAATGTCTATCTTATTATAATTTTACATAGCGTTCCTACTACCGTACATATTTTTGAAAAAGAAAGCATCAACTTCAGAAGAAGAAAAAATCTTTGGATTTTTTTTCTTTGGTCTTCTTAGAATTTCCCATGTATTTCTTGGGGAAACTGAGGTGTCTAAAATGTTTTCCACTTATTTTTCTTCCTGGGGCATCCCATCTCTAGAGGCTATTTACAAACATGGTGGTAGTTGGGATTTCCCACATTGTATTAATGTAAAACATAGTTTAAATTAGCACAATGTGTAAACCTAGCTATTATGGTTTGTGAATCATGGTTTATGGCTTAATATTACTATGAACCACGCATTATGATTATTCAACAATTTAAATTAGCCACAAACACAGTAGTGCATCTGATTTTTAACCGGCCTTCCATTTCATCACATTAAAATGGTTATAACCCATCAGTAGTCATCAACATTCGTTTTTTAGTCTTTAAATTACATTAAAATGAACAGTCATTCTGATACGAAGCCAAATGTTTGTTGTTCATCACATAATCCCCCTGACCTTTTAGAAGAACTATTAAGGTTATTTGCAATTCATTTTATTCTGAAAAACTAGCTGCATTTCACTCCTGAAAGGTCATTTCAGTGTGTACTTGTCCAAAGAAATCAAAGGCAAAATCTTTCCAAGCGCCAGTACCTTTTTAAATCCAAGAGCTCAGGTTTCAGGGAGAAGAGAAAATAACTTATTTATGCAAAGTGCTGATACTACCAGTCCAAAGGAGAATCCACAAGTGTCCAATTTCCAAGTGTTATGAAAGCTGAATACAGCATAAGGCATATAACAAAGCTACTGAACTGCAGGCAGTGGGAAACGTGTTGATCTTTTTACAATTTTCAATTCCAGATGAAATAAAAGAACTTTAAAATGCTGACTAGTCTAAAATCTTCCTAAAAATCTACTTCACTGAAATACAGAGATATCCTTAATTATACCGAAAATTGTGTCAATGGTCCCTGTCTACATAAGAAATTAAAATGCTGATGCTAAAATCACTGAGACTACTTGACTGCTTTTAGGTTTGCCTTGTTACTTTGCTTCTGAAATAGGGCATTGGTACTTATCTGACACTCCTCTTCTCATAGTGGGGGAGGAATATCCAGGCCTCCTGCATAAGGGCCCTCGATTTGGTCCCCCCCTGCCTGTTTAAGTGAGCCTTGGTTGCGATGTTGTCTGTGAGGACTAGAATGTGCCTGTCCTTGACAGAATTATACCAGGGCCAGCCGGACTGCTCTGAGTTCCAAACAGTTGATGCTGTGAGTCAGTTCAGCCTGGCTCCATTGTCCCTGTGCTATCTGATCTTGCAGGTGGGCGCCCCACCCGAACAGGCTGGCATCCATGGTTACCGTCACCCGGTCTGGTGTTCTGAAGACTTCACCCTTGGTTATCGCCGGGGATGTCCAGCAGATAAGTGAGCGAGAGACTTCTGCTGGGAGAAGGACCTTGGTCTGGGAACAGCTCCTGAGCCTTCTCTGGAAAGGCAAAAGGAACCATTGTAGGTCTCTGGTGTGGAGGCGAGCCCAAGGGACAATGTCAATGGCGGAAACCATGGTACCTAGCAATTTGGACAAGGTGGCTAAGGACACCCTACCTCCCTTGACTACCTGGGTAGCTAGCTGTCTTAAGGAGAGCTGCCTTTCTGGTGACAGAAAGACCCTGCCTTTCTCTGAGTCTATCAGAGTCCCTAGGTGGATTAGACTAGTGGATGGGTGGAGGTGGCTTTTAGCCAGATTCACCAAGAACCCATGGTCTCTCAGGATTGTCAAAGTGATGTCTAGATCCCTTAGAACCCCCTCAGAGGAGGACGACTGTATCAGCAGGTCATCTAAATAACATTGAATCCTGACCAGGAACTGTCTTAGACACGCTGCCAGGGCAGCATTACTTTGGTGAAAACTCATGGGGCAGAAGACAGGCTGAAGGGCAGAGCCCAGTATTGAAAATGATGCCCTAGGTAGCAGAACCTGAGCTTCTTCCGCTGAAATGCTGCTGTCATGCATTGTTGGAAGGCGTGCATCATTAGGTCTTGAAAATTGGGGACCCCTGTGGAGGGTTGTGGCTGGAAGCCATGCCCACCTCTGTGTGTGGGAAAACCAGAGGTGGCAGCCCCATGGGCAGGGTTGATCCCAGGGAAGCCGTATGTGGGGGGGGGGATTGCCATCCTTGAGGGAGACCCCAAAGAC